ATGGATGTGTCTTCACTGCACTTCATCTTAATATTTTGACAGTAATCGAGTTCTAACCAAAGACCTTTCATTTTATTATAGTTATCGGTGACCGAGTACCTTGTTTGGTTGAGTGAATTTTTGTTTTGATTTCAAAAATAAGGGCTACATCACGAACCTTTGAAGAAGTTTGCTTCACCGTGTCCCATATGTCCTTTGCAGTTGTAAGAAACATGCACGTCCCACTGATTTCAGGCACCATTGAGTTCCAAAGCCACGACATGATCGAAGAATCTTCTATGTCCCAAGCAACAAATTTTAGATCACTCTCTTTTGGAATCGGACCTGTCAAATGACTCAGTTTTCCCTTACCCTTTAGAAAAGTCCTCACGAGTTGCGGCCATACAAGATAATTACGGCCATTAAACCTAAACGAGGGTTGTAAATTCTGATATTCACCAGAGGATTGTTAAGAGGAGGTACTGGGAGTGCTAGTGTTGGAAGTTTGTTTTGTGCTGGAATTTTGAGACATTTTTTCTGATCAGAAAAAAGGAAGGCTGGGACGGGAAGAAAAAACAGGTATTGAAGGGTGTTTTTCAGCGGAAACAAAGGGGGCGGAAAGAATAACCCTATTGCTCTGATACCATGAACAAATTGATGAACTGATTGATGTATTTCTCATAAACTGTACAACCTATTTATAGATTACAAAACAGTCTACCTAGGAGCTATTTTTGGTAACACAATATTCAGCACTGATTACAAATAAAGGCCTAATATACAAGAATTTCCAGCTTGCATTGACTTTGGAAATCAGGGAACACATTCCCTTAAAACCAGAGTCAACGAATCCTTGAAGATTCGTCAACAGAACACAATGTAAACCAACAATAACTTCAAAACTAAAGTGTGAGTTTTGATCCATTCGATAGCTTGACATATATCTCAAAGGCCACGCAATGCTTCAAAGTTCAAAAGAATTGCAAACACTGTGATTTTCTAAAATTTCAATATCAAGCACCAATTTCACTCTATTCAAGACTCTCAGAATGTATGTGCCGAACCAATCTCACTCAGTCAATTTAACCCCGGATAGACCTAAGTGCTTCGATTGACGATAAAGGATCTCTAGATCATGCAATTAAGAACTACCATAGGCCCATTTTTCGTGTCGCTCTCCATTAACGTTGGCTAGAGTGTCATCGAAGATCAAAAAGTCTTTTAAAGTTTGTAATGTGAGGCTAGGGTGAAAGAAAGGCAGATGAAATGGAAAATTTTAGGCTTAAATCACCCTAGGCATGAAGTGCACCCATGGATCTTGCATAAATGATTGGAAACTCACACATTAACTCCCACTTTGCGCTCAATTCTCTATTACTCATCATTCCCACAAAACTTTATTTATAAAAGCCACAAAAACACACAAACAAGAAATTCATAAGAATATTTTCTTTTTGTGCTTTTCTTTCTTTTTCTCTTTTTTTTTCTTTTTTTTAAATTTAAAGAGAAAATAAAATGATAAAGAAAAACATATAAGAAATAAACGTAGAAAGAACAATAACAAACACTAAACAATTACACCCAAACCACAAATAAAATTCTCAACACTTTCATGCTTGGTCTCAACAATTATATCTTTAAATTCATGCAATGATGCAAATATGCCCATAAATGATAGGTTAAGTGAAGGGAATCCATAAAATGATTAGGTTAGTTTGTGGGTAATGATAGAAAAAGGGTCACATAGGCTCAATAGGGGAGACTAGCTGTGAAATTTCCATGGGTTAGCTATTTAAGGTTCAAACAATCCAAAAAAATGCCTAAATCATTTCTCCAACAACACCTAAACCTAGAATTTCGCTTCGAGCTTCACTCAAATGGGTTTTAGAGTTCATGAGATATCAACGTCCATCTAATGCACACAAGTGTTCTCCAAAGGCTCAAAATCTCAAGTGATCGCGGTCAAAGTGCTAAAAAGTAGAGAATAAAAAACAATGCTCAATCAATGCGAGTCAAGCACACAAAAACTCATTAAATTACATTTCCAAAGACTTAAGAAAACACATTGTGGCACATATTATCATCATCGAATTATATATCTCATTTCAACAAAACTCACAACTTATTCAAATGAACTAAAAGAAACACAAATAAAAGCGTGGCAAAAAAAACACAACTCATAGGAAGAAAAGTCATGATAACCAACACAAAAGCAAAGTCAAAACCCAACATAATCAACCAACAAGTGTTCCAACCCCCAAACTTCAAGAGAAACATTGTCCTCAATGTTTAAGTAGCCAATTTAAGCACAAGAGAACAAGAACACGTACCGAGGAGGCGAGACAATCTCGCCTCCTATTGTGGTCGATGAAGATGGTGCTCCGGGCAATGGTGGCATATACTCGGGGTGCCATGGTGCTTTCCTTCATAAGTTGCATCTTGAGGCTCATTTATTCCAATGCCATGGAAGCTCGTCAAAGAGTGGCTTCCGCCCATAGTACGTGTCGTACAACACAACAGTTGGGTCTTGATCCTTGACGCCCTTAAACTTAGCGAGATATAGAATTAATTGGCTTGTCCGCTCAACTTGACTCGGCTCCGGCTCATGAGCTCGGTGGGCTTGAATCATCATCATCGAACAAACCGAAGTTCCTCCTACGTATACTCGGTTCCTCATGGTGGCTTTCATACATGTTAGTGGCTTGTGCGTCCCTCATTGCCACTGTCCTTGTCGTGGCTTCAATTGAGTCATTTGAGGATTCCTTCATTCTTGAAAACTCCGCTTGAAGTCGGGTAAGCTCAACTTATAGGTTACGAAGGGTCTCCATCTTCTCCAACTTCTCTTCACAAAGCCTCATTTCCTCCACAAATTGGGCAAGAATCTCTTGAAGGTCTAGAGAAGACTCCGCTTGTTGAGGTTGGGTGTCATACCATGGCTCCGAAATGTTAGAACTCTCCTCCCAACCTTGGTTGTTCGGAGAATAATTCCAACACCAATTGTCATAGTCGGCCACGTCTTCCAAAAAAATAATAGGCTTCATCCGCTGATAGTTGGTAAAGAGAGGTAGTACCATTTCCTCCTTCCATCTAAGTTCGTGTTGCAGCGCTTAACCATTGAGGAAGTTTTGTAGTTAACCCTCTTTCGAGAAACCATAATCGGGGAATTCAATTAGCAATTCCTTGTATCTCGCCCAAGCACTATAAAATGGCTCCGAGTCTCTTTGAGCAAAAATTAAGAGGATTTGTCGACCAAACATCTCCAAATACCTCGCAAAACAAACAAACACTTAAAAGGAAAAATTAAAACGAAGAAAACATAATAAAAACTACATAAACAATCTAATTAAAAACAAAGAAAAGTAAAGAAGCCAAATAAAAATCAATAAAAAAAAGTAAAAGAAACGCCTAAATTCAAATCAAGCTATTTACTCACAATATTAGCAACAATCTAAAACGCCAATTCCCTGGCAACGGCACTAAAAACTTGTTCACCTGCAAGCGTACGGTGTCAAGTTTTGATAGTATATGGTGAGTGAGTGTCGTCTCCATAGGGATTGGGTGTTAAATTGCCGCTAAGTACCGACTTTATCTAAGCAACCGAACTCAATGAAATAAAAATAGAACTAGAACAAATATAAATACAAAAATAAAATAAAATATGGAAACTTCTATGCACAAATGTACTAGGGACTTGACTTCACCTTATCATTTCTATGTTCATCCTATCAAACTATTGCTAGCCAATTCTACTCAATTTATTAATCAAGGGACCTAATCAAACCTCATTACCTCTCTCGAGCGTCAAACGAAGTCATATGCATGAATACCCGAATCAATATTCCTGTCTAACCCATTTTCTCATATACTCATTAAGTTTAACCCTTAAATTAGAAATCAAATGCCGTTCGCCTCTCGGTCTCACAACAATCGAAATCCTAGTTGATAATCAAGGTCTTGATCACCTCCCGGTCTCACAATATTCTGGACTCTCAACGAGATTATCAAAGTGTCAATCTCCTCCCGGACTCACAACAACCTAGACTATATTTCCCAATTCCGGACTATGAAATTAATCTCTCCCGAGCATCAAAATCACAATCTAAAATTATCTAACTCATTGGCCACATGAATTAAAAACATTAAACATAGAGAAACATAAATAAATTAAGATGGAATTAACTAACAATTGACAAGATAATCAAACATGGTTCAATTAAAGGTACATCAAGCCTTAGAATATGAAGTCTAGCTCAACATAGAGGAATCCATAACCAAAATCACAAATTTAAGAACAAAAACTAAAAAAAAACTACAATAAAAAGGGAGAAGTAAGAGAAAACTCTTGTGGAGATGAGCTTCAAGTCTTCAAATCTTCAAGAATCTCTCCCAAGCATTCTTCGAGAATCTCCAACTCCAAGTTTCTCTCTTTAGGAATTTTTGTGCCTCACCTCCTCTCCAAATTGGGAACTAGGGTTTCTCTTGCTTAAGTATGCCCAAAATTGGAGAATAACTTCATCTAAACTTATCCAAGGGTCAAAAATGGCCAACCATAATGATCAAGGGCCAAAAAAAACCCAAAAACCTCGTTTCAGCATAAGAGGGAACATGGCACGGGCGCGCTGCTGGCACGCGTGGGCGCGCTGCAGCCCCTGCCCAAGGCTGCTATTGGGCGTTTTTCACCCCGTTTTGCGCGGCTGTTGCGCGGGTCCTTGCCCTCGTTCGTGGCTCATCCCGATAGCTTCCAAAACTCCAATTTTTTCCTTGTTTTCAACTAATTTCCCATTTATTAATGTTTCCTACAAAAACACATCAAACTAATATAAATCCTTGAAAACTCACAAATATTTGAACTCAACGGTACTTGATTTGTCAGTAAATAACCTCCTCATCAAATAGCCATTTACCATTCCTAATTCAATTATTGAGAGTGAAAATAATAAAAACACTTGAATGCTACATTATCAATTGAAGCAAGAGAGTGGTCTGTGGACGAGTTCAACCGTTGGATGGTTTTTTTGCAGGACATGGAAAAGAAAGAATCAGAGTTCCTATCTTATTCCGGTGCAAAACGTTATCAGTTGGAAGCTGAAGTTATTTATTTGAAGGAGAAAATAGCAGGTGGTTGTGATAGCAAGAGTCTGTCAGATGGATTAGATCGCTCGTTAAGTGAATCAGCGGAAGAATTAAATTCAGCTAGGAAGGTGATTCTTACAGTTCTTGAAGATTATAGTGGCATAGCTTATGATTGCTACTCTTTACTATTAGTACAGGGACCATGATAAGTTTCGATGTTAAAAAATAAAGCATGTGATATTTGAATCCGAATAATATCATTTTTGTGTCTTCCAAATTTAAAATGATGTATGCTTCTGACAGGAACTTGCTGCGACACTAAGGGCGATACTGGCAGTAAAACGCCAGCTTGATGATGTGCCATCCCAATCAGAACTTATCCAGTATGTTAATATTTGTCCCTCTCTCTCTATTTTCATTTCGTAATCTTTCAAAATTATGAATTGGCCTGTCTCTCCGCAGATATGAACGGAGGTTATCGGACCTATATGGTCATATTCAGGGAAAACATCAACAAACTCAGAAGCACTACGATACCTACAATGCGCTCTTGGAGATAAAGGAATTGATGCTAAAGGAAACATCCTTGTTGAATTCGATAAGTTCACAGGTATGGATAAATCTTCCTTTGTAGTTCCGTTTTGAACTAATCGTCACAGGTGTTAAATTTTTAAGGATTTTTTTATTTTTATTTTTTATGTTTTTTTTTCAATTTTCCTCTTCTTCCTCATCCTTTGACTTAGTTTGGTAGTGCTATAGATTTTAGAAAAATTACGTTTAGTTGTGTTGAAGGAAGAAGCAGCTGTTACAAAAAGCAGCTGAGTGTTTAATAAACTATAATTATAGCAGCTGTGCTGGTTACAAAAAGCAGTTAAGTGTTTAGTAAACTATAATTATAACAGTTGTGCTGGTTCCAAAATCAGTGTAATAGCGTTTGGTAAATTATGAAGTTTAATTATTGTGAACAGTTAAAAATTACAACTATATTATATCATACTATAATATAATAAATATAATTACAATAT